GTGGGGAGGGAAATGTTAGGGATCAAATCTAAGGCCTTGGCCATGTCAGGCAGGTGCTCTACCACTGACCTACATCTCCAGCCCTAAAAGTATTTTTTTTTTTTTACACATGAAACCATTTATTCCTCAATATGCAACAGCTGAAAATGTTTTGATTTGGGTACGGCGCTCCAAGTCTAAGTTTCTTGGTTTCATTTAAATATTTTTGTAAACTTCAAATTTATTGAGGGTAGTTTTGAAGATGGAGAAAATCACAAACCTAGCAGGTAGCACAAGGAAGGAAAGATGGACCAGCCTGAGATAAACATGGCATCTGTTTTAAAGCCACACTTCATATATTCCTCCTGAAATACAAAACCAGAGAAGGGTAGAACTACGATTTTGTCCGTGTGCTTTAAAAAGACCCACAGTAAGCAGGATTCATGTGCATGCATGCCGGTCCGCAATGAAATCATGTTTTAAAGAGGATTCAGCTGCATTATATTTATAACTATGTGGTTGCTACCAGCTACCAGCATGTCTCCCTGCGGTGGTTCACATCTCTTTTCTCTGTGTCCCAGTTCTGTTCTAATGTGAGCGAATGGCTTTGACGAAGCAGCCTGTGAGTCCTCACCCCTTCCCACCGAACACAGTTCCAGCTGTGGCTTCTTGAGAATCCTGCTCTGATCCTACCCAGCGCCTTATTCCAACATGCTGGTCTCTGGCTGCAGAAGAAACTATGAGGAGTTGGGGATCAAGACCCTCTGTTGGTTGTAGCAAGTCAACCTCTCTGTGGGGTCCATCCTGTTTGGTTAAGACAAAAGGACAACAGGAGATAAACCAGATCATAGCCACATTCTTGAAAGTCAACACAATTTCCCAGAAGAGCAAAAGGATGGATAGTTCTGTATTGCTTTTTGGAGGGCAGGATCTCACTATGTATTCCAGGCTGGCCCCAAACTCACAGCGGTCCTCCTGAGTCAGCCCTCCAAGTGCTGGGATTATAGCATGCACCACCACACCCACTGTACGCATTGCTCCTTAAACATTAATGTCCATAAAAAGCACTTGAGAAAGGCAGTTAAAATGCAGATTTCTAGGCCCTGGCATTTCTGATCTCAGTCCCCCAACCCCATACTGGGGATTGAACACAGGGCTCTTGAACTGAGCTCTGTCTCTGTTCCTTTTTCAAGTTTTTAGTTTGAGATAGGTGCTAAGTCACTAAATTGCCCCACTTGGGGGGGTTGATTTATGATCCTACTGCCTTAGCCTCCCCGAGTGCTGGGATTACAGGTGGTACCATCATGTCCAGCTGGAAATCTGTTTTTCAAACAGATGCTATAATGTGATTCTGCTGCTGGAAGTTCAAAAATCACACTTGGAAGAACACTGGGATTCTGGGATCATTCCACACTACTCACCAACAGTACTGCAAAGCAATACCATTACCCTACACCTCCCAGCTCCATCCCTTAGGGTCCATGTTTTTGAATGATTAGGTGTATGGTTAAAGTTTATATGAACGCCTCATCACACTGGTAACAATGTGCAGTTGGGAGAGGCACACACTGTGTTGGTGGAATGCCCTGGGACCCCATTTTCAGGAAGATGCAAGGTAGACCAACTACCTCTCTAGCTATGAAGTAGACATGCAGGGCAGCACACCGAAAACAAGCTCTGGAGATGGCAGACCAGAAACCTGCATTCTATGATTCACCACTCTTTTGCAAGCCTCGTGATTCCTATTGCAGTACACACATCACACCCCCTCGGCACATGTCCAGAGTTCACTTCTGTGAGTGTTCACTGTCCTCCTCCTGTGTGTATTGCCTCTCTTCACTCAGCCCTTCTCCAGTTTTTTTCTTTTGGGTACTGGAGATCAAACTCAGAACCTTGTGCTCGCAGGGAAGGCATGGTGCCACTGAGCTAAGTCCCCAGCCTACATCTCCAACTTTTTACCCATATAAACTTCCTTCCATGTCAAGTTTTCCACAAAATGTTACTGTGATATGTGTTTAGATACTAAACATTCTGCGGTCTTTTGCACACAAAGGGTGATCAACTATATAGTGAATGTTCAATTTTAAAAATGTATTACGGCAAAAGACAACGCTGCCATTAATCGCCATCAAAATACTCCCCCTTATTTTGAATATGTTTATCTCATTGTTTCTGCCAGTTTCTGAAGCCGTTCTGGAAGTCCTCTTGCATGAGTGTCTTTATGAGGCGTGATAAAAGTACGGTGAATGCTGCTGTTGAGTGCCGTCCAAAAGAAAGGCAAGCTGTTAAAAAATATTACAGCGTGTCCTCATCTGTCTCATTCACTTGATTTGACACTGTACAGTTTCTGGCTCTTCTCCACAGTCAAAGTGATCGTGAAAGGTAAACATTTTCAGTCAATTCAAGACACTGAGGCAGCCACAACAGCACAACTAAAGACACTCATGAAAGACGACTTTCGAAACCGCTTCAGAAACTGGCAAAAATGATAGGAGAGGTGTGTTTGAAATGAGCAGGAGTATTTTAAGGAGGATTAACTACAAGAAAAAATTTAAAATTTATTTAAAATATTCATGGTATTGCCTATCACATCTCATACAGCAGCTAATGGCAGAACATAATGTCAATACATCTACAATCACGCTTTTGGTGTAGATGTCCCTTTTATGGTACAAAGATATATAGTGTATTTTGGGGGTCAGAAGATGGGAGTTCAAATGTTAGGTCTGCCATTTAACAGCTACCTGATCTTAGAGAAGTTACCCTCCCTGGTCCTAAGTTTCTTCATTAGGATGAAATGAGAAAGTTTGTAGAAAAACTAGAAGTATGCCTAGAACCTATAAATTAATGTTAGGCACCTCTCCTCTTTCTTTTTCTTTTCTTTCTTTTTTCCTTCCTTCCTTTCTTTTCTTTTCATTTTTTCCTTTCTCTTACATGGCATATTATAGCACACATTAGAAATTCTTGATAGCACACATTAGAAATCAAAATAAGAAAAGAGATCATTATGAAAAGATATTGAATAGCTCAAGGAATTGCCAAGAAAACTGAAATCCTGGTGCAAAAGATGAGCTGGGACCCAGAGAGGCTACACCAAGATAGCAGCCAAAATTCCATCTGGGAGCACAGTCCAGCTGGGCACTAGACACTGCCAATGTCTCATAGCAAAACTGATTCTCTGCTGTTTCTGTTTCTTGCATGGCTTGCTCCAGTTTTCCAAAACCTGTGAGTGGCCTGGCCTGGGGCCCTAGCTCTGCACTCCAGTTGGGATGGTCAAGGAAGTGGCCCTAGACTTTCTGACTTCTGCAGCTGAAAACGCTTAAAAATACGAGGGGATGGTGCACACTTGTAATCCCAGCGCTTGGGAGGCTGAGGCAGGAGGATGGCTGCGAGTTCGAGACCAGCCTAGGCTACTCGGTAAGTTCCAGGGCAGTCTGAATTACATAGCGAGACCCTGTCTCAAAAAACAAAAAACAAAAGAAACAAAGACAAAAAAACTTACGGAATTCAGATGTCAGACACTCCAGAAAGACCACTCCTCGGGTTCTCCCCGCCCTTTGCCCAATTCTCACATATCATCCCGGCTTACACACCCATTCAGCCCTAGGTGGGGTCTCCCTGCTCCGGAACCCCTCAAGCCCAGGGCCACTGTGCGCAGAGGGTGCTGCAGACCTTGCTGCTTGCGTCTCTCCTTCGTTTGCCCTCCTTCCTCCCCACTTGCCTCCTTTACACCACCGACCTCGGAATACTCAAGTCCTGCGTTCCTCAAACGCTAATTCAGATAGCACTTCTCCTTCCTTACCGTCTTCGGTACCCCTCCAAGATTAACTTTCTCTGTCTTGTGTCCACCCAGCAGTTTTCCGGGTTTTCTAGGACCACATTTGCTGCACTGTACCATGAATGTATATTACGTCTCTCATGGACTCATCTCCCCCCGTCCTAGACCCAAGACAGGGCTCTTCTTAAGGGCAGGAAGTCTGCAGTCATCCCTGTACCCTTGGTTCTTGGCACCCAGTGGACTTTCTGACATTTGCTAAGGCAGAAAACACTCTCGGTGCTCTGTCAACACGCTGTGACCCCTTTCCTACAGCCATCAGGCCAATGCATTTAAAAAATGGAAATAGTTCATGTGCATCCCCCCTGCAAACTCTAAGCGTTGGGCCGATTATGTGCGTATAAATGTCTATTTCTTTCCACTTTTACATATCTTCTGGTAAGACGCTGAATGCCCTCATTCTACCGCATAATGTCTTAACAGGGAAAGTTATGAGGAGGGATTCCCGCCTACCCGTTTGCAATTCCGCTGAGCCTCTAGGTTGCTTGCACTGCCGCAAAGGGAACCAGACGCAGGGGCGGGTGGGCGACAGCAAAGCAAACACCCCCGCCCCTGGACTTGCCAGTCTGAGTCTCTCGGGGACTCGAGCCAGGCGCACGCAGGTCGCCCACCCTGTCGCTCCGTCCCTCGCTGCCGGTTCCAGGGGCTC